AGTCTCCTGCCTCAGCCTCCCAAGTAGCTGGGACTACAGGCACCCACCACAATGCCCAGCCATTTTTTTTGGTTGCAGCCATCATTGTTGTTTGGCAGGCCCAGGCTGGGAATTCAAACCCGCCACCTTAGGTGTATGTGGCTGGCGCCTTAGCCGCTTGAGCCACAGGCGCTGAGCCAGTATAAATGATTTTCTTCAGAGTCTGTGGTTTTTATTTCTTTCTTTTTTTTTGAGTTGGCATCTCATTATGTCACCCTCGGTAGAGTGCTGTAGCGTCAGAGCTCACAGCAACAGGTGCCCAGCCAAGAGTCTGTGGGTTTTTTTGTTTGTTTTGTTTTTTTCGAGACAAGAGTCTCACTTTGTCGCCCTCTGTAGAATGCTGTAGCATCATAGCTCACAGCTACCTCAAACTCTTGGGCCTGAGCAATTCTCTTGCCTCAGCCTCCCAAGTAGCTGGGACTACAAGCATCCACTACAATGGCTGGCTATTTTTTTGTTGCAGTCTGGCAGGTCCCGGTTTGAACCCGCCACCCACGGTATATGGGGCCAGTGCCCCACCCACTGAGCCACAGGTGCCACCCCAGATTATCTTTTGAATGTAATTTCTTTCTTTCTTTCTTTCTTTTTCTTTGGACACAGAGCCTCAAGCTTTCGCCCTGGGTAGAGTGCCGTTGCATCACAGCTCACAGCAACCTCTAACTCCCAGGTTCAAGCGATTCTCCTGCCTCCGCCTCCGAAATAGCTGGGACTACAGGTGCCTGCCACAATGCCTAGCTATTTTTTTTTTCGGTTGCAGCCGTCATTGTTATTTGGTGGACCCAGGCTGGATTAGAACCCTCCAACTCAGTGTATGTGGCTGGCGCCTTAGCTGCTTGAGCCACAGGTGCCAAGCGTTAAATGTAATTTCTTGAACAAAGACCTTTTCAGAAGTAATATTTTGTACTTGAATGAACATAGAAGCTTGGCATTAGCCTGAGTTTAAAAGCCTGCCCCCTCCCCCACAACTCTTCTATAAACACCTGGTGATACCACTTTACTCTGTTAAGGTGATGAGGAAGAAAAGCTCTGAACAACCATTCTGCTGTGTACTTAAAATAGTTCCCCTCCTGCCCTTCTGAAAACTGGATCTTTTTTTGCTAATTCTAACTCTGTATCACCAAGGTAAGGATAAGATCCTTTTTTCTTTTTTTTGAGACTGCCTCAAGCTATTCCCCTGGGTAGAGTGCTGTCGCATCACAGCTCACAGCAACCTCCAACTC